TCAGCAAAGTGGAACAACATCAACAGACCTCGGATAATGCGGGAATGTTTTTTATTACCGAAATGCATCGCGCGTGGAGACCCCCGCTGTTCTCCCCCCGGCTTGACAGTGTTTACGGGCTTGAAACGAGGTCAGTAAATGGGAAAGACTACGTTCTTCATCCACACAAGCTTGCGAAGGCCATGATTATTCGAACAATTATCCCTGTCTGACAAATGAGACCATCGTCTGTGAGGATAAACTAAAAAGGTAACCTGACTGAGCCCAAAGCTGCACCGTTTCAAGTGCGGTGAGTGTCGTTTGAGACCCCCTTTTTGACGAATTAAATCCAATGACATGTACTAGTTTCATCATTGAGCTCCTGGTCTTCGGTAGACGGAGGGAATGGATCGCCAAGCCCCACGACTGCCTCGGCCTCCGGCCTGGCTCCCCCCACGGACCCGACGCGCCCGCCCACATTGCCGTCTCAAGAATTCCGACCGAAGCAGTCGCTGGGGCAGAATTTTCTCTCAGACCAGAACTACGTGCTCAAAATTGTGCAGTCTTTGGTAGATAAGAGTCCAGGGGGACGGCGCGTGGTTGAGCTGGGTCCGGGGCCTGGCGCCTTGACGCGCGTTCTTCACCGACGCTATCCCGACATGCTGGCCGTTGAAATTGATCCCCGGGCCGTGGCGCTCCTGAACGAGGCCCTTCCGAGCCTCAAGGTCGTTCAGTCAGATGTACTTCAGGTGGACTGGACGGCGCTGGCGGAGCTTAGAGGGGGGCCTCTCTCGGTGATAGGAAACCTGCCTTACCACATCACGAGCCAGATCTTATTCTGCCTTCTCGACAATCATCGGACGGTGCGGCAAGCCGTTGTGACCATGCAACTGGAAGTAGCACAGCGGATTGTAGCCCCAACGCGATGCAAGGACTACGGCATACTATCTGTGCTCTTTCAACTCTACACACGACCGCGAATCAACTTCAAGCTTCCGCCGACTGTCTTCTACCCGCAGCCCAAGGTCACTTCGGCCCTTGTCACTCTTGATTTTCTGCAGCCAGTTCACGGGCAACCTATTTTTGACGTGGAACCTGGAGCCCTCAAGCAAGTTCTTAATTTGAGCTTCCAGCAGCGCCGTAAAATGCTCCGCCAGAGCTTGAAGGGCTTGCTCGCTTCCCGAGGGCTGACTCTGGATGAGGAGTGGGCCACGAAGCGCCCCGAGGAGCTAGAGCCTGCCCAATTTGTTGAACTTACGCGATTGTTATTTGGTTCTGCGACTGAGAAGCATCATAAGGGCAGCGAAGATAACATTGAAAGTGAAGAAAGACATCTAAAACAGGAGCAGACACGTGTGTGGCGAAGAGCCCGGCACGGGGGTTTTGACGAGACGGATGAGGGAGATGAAAACGATAATTGAGTGCACAGTTAGAAATAAATAGGAATGCAAAGTCCAATGTGTATAATTCCAAAGAAGCAAAGGGAAAGCGATGTATGGCGCGTGGGCCTAGAAGGCAAGGTGGCTGCGGCCCATAGACGGCAGGACATTCTTTCGCCCTGGCCCGACTTGAGCTCGGTCACTGCCCAGATCGCACACGTAGCCCCTGCCGGTCCTACGCAGGTCTCACCCTCACCGACAAGTCCACGTGACAGGATTGGTTTCCCACAGCGCACGCCACCATCTCACTCATGGTGGCGAACTCGGGCTGGAGATGTCGTAGTAAACTGGGATTCGCATTTTCCTTGACGTCCACGATCGTTCTGATCTCCGCCGTGTTGCTTCTGTGCGGGCAGCCATGTTTCGGCTTCGGCGCATTACTCAGGCACAGCCCTGGTGTCTTCAAGAGCAACACTCTTCTCGGTACTCGAAGGTAAGTTAGTGTGCACGAGGTGGGTCGGGGCCTTTCGCTGGTCTACGACATGACTCAAACAGAAGAGATTCTCAAGTTCTCAGATTTTTCATGTACGCCCTAATTTCGCACGACAGACTCTCGCCAATGCAAAGTACCCTCAGTGACGATGAGATAGCAGTAGTTACACAGGCAGAAAGCGCTGTAAATGCTATGTTCAAGAGGCCATTGCGCGTAGGGCTGTTGGTGGAGCCGACAGTAAGTCCCATGCTCTCCCCGAATCTTCGGATTCCTTGTTCTCAACTGCTTTCCCCGCTGTGTTTTGTACATCGTCGCGATGGGAACCCCCTTTCTGTCACTACCACATTGTTTTGAGCGTGTCACACGTCGTAGCCGTGCATCTCAACCCAATGACTGAGAGGCCCCAAATAACTGGACACGAGCCTGCGAAACTCCTCCCGCTTCCATTACTGGGACGGGCCAAAGCATGCGGCGACCCCTCAATTTAGTGTTTTACAAGCCAAACGTATCGCTGCAATATGAAGTAATTTGCTTACATGTTTGATCTAAAACGAAATTCGGCTTTTCTCTTTTCCCACCACCCTTCTTTCTTTCCTTCAGCCCTTCACGCACGTGAGCGGATACGCCAATCGGTTCAAGGAAATGCTTAAACACTTACATAGAACGGGAGACCGCGTAGAGATTTGCACCACCGATGATGTGCCATCTGCTCCTCCCAAATTTCTAGACTACCGCATCAACTATACACCCGGCTTTCGCTTCCCCCTCTACGACCACATCAGCCTCAGCTTGGACGTGAAGCTCGTAGCCTATCAATTGCTAAAAGTCTTCCGGCCTCACATAATCCATGTATCCACCCCTGGCTTCCTGTGCTTTGCAGCTGCCATATACGCCCGGATCTTGCGTATTCCCTTGCTCTTTTCCTACCACACGCACCTCCCGATCTACGCTCGCGACTACATGGGCTTCATCCCGGGCATTGTAAGTCTGACACGGTTCGTCATTCGCGTCGTACATAACTGGGCGGACCTGACGCTGGTCACCAGCCCGCAGCTGAAGGATGAGCTTGAGAGTTTCGGGGTCAAGCGCGTGGCGGTATGGAAGAAAGGCATCGACACAGATCGTTTTCACCCCCGGTTCCGCGATGCCGACATGCGGACGAGATTGACAGACGGACACCCGGAAGCGCATCTTTTAATTTACGTAGGAAGGCTGGGGGCAGAGAAGAAGCTTAAGACTCTGCGTGGAGTTCTGAAGCGGATCCCGGGAGCAAGGCTTGCCTTGGTGGGGGGCGGGCCCGCGGAGGGGGACCTGCGGGAGTATTTCAAAGGAACGAACACCGTTTTCACTGGATTGTTACACGGAGAAGAGCTGAGCAAGGCATTCGCCTCCGCAGACGTCTTCCTTATGCCCTCGGACTCGGAGACACTCGGATTCGTCGTCCTGGAGTCCATGGCTAGCGGCGTCCCCGTCGTGGGAGCCCGAGCTGGTGGACTTCCCAATGTGATAGAGCACGGAAAGACGGGCTTCTTAGTGCCCGTGGGAGATGAACCGGCCTTTGCAGCACGGGTGCAGCAATTGCTGGGGGATCGCGGTCTGATGCGGGATATGATGGCGGCCGGCCGGGAGGAAGCGGAGAGCCTGGACTGGGCAAGCGCCATGGACCACCTGAGGAACATTCACTACAAGAGAGCTGTCATGATTCATCGCCGGCGCACTTTGAGCGCTTTCTTGGCCTGGGCTGGCACATTTAAAGAACGCACGGTGCATAATTTGAAGCAAAGCATGGAAGGTATGTTTGCAACTGCGACCTGAGATTTCGAAGGTTAAATGTGTACGCTCTCAATTTAAATTTGTAAACAGAACGAAATTAAAGGAAAAAAGAAGAAAACAGTGGCATCATCGTGCTTCCCAGGATATTGAAAGTGTTTCTTCTGATTTGGTCACATTTATAGGATGCACATGAAACACCAAGTGGCCTGGTAGTTTTCCACGACGCATCTTGATTACCAGCAAATCGTTCCTTTGCCCATTTCATAAGCATCAATGTACCCTTTCCCTAAACAAGAGCTGGCTGCAAGGCCGAATGGGAACACTGCCTTTTATACTTTAGGATGAAACCTGCTTTGGGATCCAAGAAATAACACGTGATGTCGTTACTTGACTACTAGTCTACGCACGTATTATTACGTGTTCACACGCAGACGGATTTGTTTTCAGGGGGCGAGGGCTACACAACGTATATTGACTTATGTAGGGTCTGTCATGCTTAGTATATTTCACAGAGAACGCCCAAGATTTATTATTGAATTGAACACCAATGCTTGTCGAGGATGGGGGTTACATCATCCATGTTACGTGCCCAAACAGAGTTACTGCCTTGCCCCGTGAGAACGTCGCGCTGCCTCAGTGTGTTTGTTGTTGTGTGTTCAGGCATGTGGAGCATTTCGCAACCGTTCTGTTCTTGTTTGATCAAACGAATGATTTTACGATTTCTTTCGAAATGAAGAGAGGCATTATTGTCCTGTGTGACCCGCCTCATAAAGGATAAGGAGTCACGCTTGAAGTCCCTCCAGAGAGGTTCAAATCCTGAACGTCTCACCAATGCCCTGTCTGCTCCAATATGACAAACAAGCCAAACACAGGTATGCCTCCAGTGCAATAATATCACAGGAAAATCCAGAACCGCCCACAGACCAGGGTGTTGGTTTTGCTGCAAACGTGCTTCTGGAGCGACCGAGGGCACGGGCACGCCCCTGGGGGAAGAAATTCTCTTTTACTAAAAGGCATGGGGATCTCAGGATTGTGGAATTTCCTCCGTGACCAAGGCCACGTTCGCAATCTTGATGGTGTGGAGTTGGCGAGGCATGTTGAAAATAAGGTCCTGGCTGTGGATGCCTCCCTTTGGTTGATGCAGTGTCGGAAGGAGAGCACATATCTCCACGACAAAAAGCACATCAAAGTGGTGTTCGAGCGCGTGATTCATTATTTGCGACTTGGTGCCCTGCCTGTCCTGGTCTTTGAGGGGTACACCCCCCCGGCCAAGCAAACAAAAATGGAGCGCCGTCGTAAGACGATGTGGAAAGGCATGTCGTCTCCGAGCCAGCCTTACGTGCCGCGCTGTAACCACTCCCTTATGCAGCTGGGAGAGGACGTGAAAAAATTGTTAGATGCGATGGGATTGCCTTACGAGCAGGCAGGCGGCGAAGGGGAGGCTCTCTGTGCCGTGATGTATTGTCAAGGCCTGGTGGACTCGGTAGTCTCGAGCGACGGCGATGCCCTGCTGTACGGGGCCCGCCGCCTGTACAAGGACCTGCGTCTGCACGCGAGGCTGCTTCCGGACAATCACTCCGGAGAGTGGGTGGCCCTGGAGAATGATGATGGTGTGTCGATCTCAGGGCAAGACCTGATGGCAGTGTGCCTCCTGGCTGGGTGCGACTTCCTCTCGGAAGGCCTCCGACAGGTCGGGTGCATAGGGGCATGGGGAGTAGTGCGTGCCCTAAAGGCCCGACGGGCGCGAATCCTACAGCAGGGGGAGGGTAGTGCCGCTAACATCGCGCTTGGAAGCAGAAGCTTGGTGGACTTGCTGCGCTCCTGTCTATCGGAAGCGGTGGATGAGCCGATGACGGCGCCTGCAGCAGGCGCATGCGTGACCTGTCGAAGTCATCCGCATGTAGAGGCAGGAAAGAAAGTGCGCGGTACAAAGGGGTGCCAGAAGTGTGGGATGCTGCCCAAGGTGAGGGGCGGCGTAGGAGAGGGAGGCTGCAATCGGGGACAGACGCAGGCCGATGCCGTGGGCGTTGGAGGCGTGTTTGTTGGGAATGACAGCCCCTGTCTGTGTATGTCTTGCCAGCGGCGAGACGATGGGACACTCCAATTACTGGCCAAGCGGGCAAGAGACGGCCAGGGAGGTCTGCAGGGCTATCTGCGGAAGTTTGACGAGGCACACGCCGCCTACAAAGCGGCCTCCGATGCGGCCATGGATTTGACCAGAAGTCTTCGAAGTGCCGGGGACGAGGCGACTGGCACGGACGGAAGCGCACCGGGAAAGTGTCCAGCCCATTTTGAGTGGCGTAGGCGACCGGATGTTGCGCTTCTCAAGGAGATGCTGGAGCCCGTCTACGGGAAGGGAGGGATGGGAGGGAGGAACCTGGCGCGGAAGCTCCTGCCATTGCTCCTAGAGTGGGACGCACGGCACATCGGCGACGTACTGGGGCCGGGCCCTGACGCCCAGGAGGTGGGTGCGAGAGAGCTAGCCCTTGCGACCCACCAAGGGTATCTGTTCGCGCCCATCCGCATCGATCGGGTTTGCCAGATCGGTGGCGGCGGCTGGCGCTACGCGATGGATTGGGTAGCTCTTCGCCCGGAGGCGGAATCTCTGATTGCGGAAGCGGCAGAGGGCATGCAGAGAGCAGCGGGCAGCCAATGGACCAGTCAAGGGGGAGGGAAAATGTTGCCATCCCTGAAGGAGGTTCTGAGCGAGGGCCGCGGCAGCCTCCGGCGCAGCCTAGTAGAAGCCAAGTATCCTTACCTTGTGAGGGCGTTCGAGCAAAGGTGCCAGAGGGTACGACCGTCCCGGCCGCGGAAGGAGCAAGGCCGTGACGCACTTGCCTCCGTGATCAGGCCGGAGGGCAGGTTGGAGCACTTTTTCTCGCCCCTCAAAGCAGCGTTAATTCCACCTTCGTCCCCATCACAGCCCCCCGGCGTTCAGTCCTCCGAGTCGCCATCAAAATCCTCACCGCGGGTCACTCCCACATTGTCTCATACTGACTTCCACGTAGAGTCTCCGGTCTCTGCGCCTTCGCCCACTGTCCGACTCGGCACCAGGTCCTCCCATTCGTGCTGTGTCCCGCGGGCTCCGCGCAAGGGCAAGCCCCCGGATCTTTTGGACAAGGGAATTGAAAGGCAGGGCCTTGGAGGGAGGAGCGCGAGGAGAAATCTCGACCATTTTTTCAAGCGCGCGCGCTTCGACGACCACCCGGATCCCTCGGACTCCTCCGTGCACGGCGCTCCCCGCCAAATCCATGTTGACATCAGGTGCGTCGACGAGGAGGAGACGGATGGCGAAGACTTGCTGATAGACTTGACTGCAGACCCTTTACCGCACTTCTCTGAGGTCGCGGAATTTGCTACCACAGAGGAGGACTGGGCGGTGCTTAATATCACTGGGACTGATGAGAACATCGTAGACGTGTCCAAGGAGCGACGTATGCGGCGAATCGATTGCTAGGACTTTGTCACTCCGCCTAAGTCTCAGACACAGGTTCAGGAGTGGTGAAGCTGCAGCATCTTTACGCTAGGAATTTCAAAATCAATTTGGCGTGAAAGCAGAGCCGGACAGGCACATAACACATAAACCCTAAAATAAATGAATTACTTTCATTACGTGTCACACTCTTGTCGAGCTGCCGACCATGTCACCCGCTCCCCCACAGGCTCGAAGTCAGCTTCTCTAGTAAAGGCTTCGCGTTGTTCTCGGCGCCCTCACGCAAGGCTATCAACTTCTCCTCTTTCGTGAAGCGCTCTGGTTTGGAAGCCAGGATTTTGGGGGGGCCCAATGCTCCCTTTTGAGCGATTGACCATTCCCCTGGATAGCTTCTGTAAAGTAAGACGTTGTCCAGTGTCTTGACTGCGGCGTCGTTCAATACATTCAGGAAAAAGACAGGCTCGAACTCGCTCAGCAAGGCGACGGCCTCGTCTTTAGGCAGATGGGGCGATGCCTCCTCCAGAGGAGTGTTGAGAATGATGAGGAGCGTGTCGAAGCCCAAACTTTCGCTCAATCTCCTCACTGCGCTTAATTCTTTGGGGCCTGGAGCCACTACAATGCACACCTCAGTACCCGGAGGCAGCGTGGTCATCTCCCCCCCCCCTTCAGAAGCGCCGAAGCCGCCCCCCTTCTTGGCTTTCTTATTTTTTCGCTTTATGGCTGACGATGTCATCTCATCCAATGCCATGGTTTTCACTAGCGCCGTGCCCCAGATGCTGGCCGCTCGACGGGCTTGACGGCCTTGAGAAAATATCACAACTGTGTTGTCAATTATGGGCTTGAAGAGTTCCACGGTCAATCGTGCCAGCTCGCGGTCTGATTTCTCATATTTATCGTCGTCCGCCGAACCCGCTCCTGGGCCTTCCACACCCAGCGGCGTCCCCCGGGGTAAATTTATCTCTGCCCTTGATTTCCTGTCCCGGAGCGCACGTTGCATGGCAAAGCGCAGCCCATTTATACCGTCTTTGATGGACCTTGGAATCCCTTGAGGCTCGCCCCCGCCACCTAAGAAGTTGGCAATCATGTATGACGGGCATATTCGACGCCTGTGTGACCTACTAGACTGGGAAACTTGATTTAAGGGCGGCACAGTGAAGGCATAGGTACCGAGGAGGAGGTACAGGGAGACGACAAGTGCTGACTGCCGCAAGGATACTCGTGTCATTTTGTTCTTTGCGACGCCGAGCAAATATTAGGGAAATGGTGACGAAAAATTGGTCAGAAGAAAGAGAGCAAAGCGAGAAAGGGAAAGGGAGGCAGTGCCCGGGTCGTGCGTTCAGGCGTGTTGCATGCCTTCGTAGCTGTGATGAAAATCAAAAGGGCAATGAGGGAGGAGGGACAGGAGAACGCAGCATGGAAGGCAAAGGATTGAGGAGCCTCTTGAGTGGTTATAATCATGTTGAAAGAGGGGCGAGAGGAGTGTCACATGCCGAGGCACAAACTAGATGCTGGATGCTATGGGGGGGCACGTGGGGGGGCGAGAGAGAGCCTCCTGAGGGGGAGGGCCCACGGGGTTCGGGCAATTGATAACAATTTTACGCGCACTTTACGAGCTCGAGTTTCTCTAAATATTGATCCCTGCATAGAATTCCTGAGGTTCGCGCGGCACCTGTATTTTTGCCCCGATTTTTGAGTGGTCCCAGGGCAAGCATGCCATTGAAAAAGAAGGCGGGCGCAGCAGGAAGATCAAAAGCCGCAGGTGGACATGAGAGCAGTCCTAAAGCCTCGACGGTGTCAGAAGTGTCGAAAGATGGAGCGCCTTTGCAGACCCCGTCTGGCTCGAAACGGACAAGGAGCAGCGGTGAGACGGCTGAGACCACCGGCAGCTCATCACGTAAGGCAGAGAAGCGAGATGAAATAATGACGGATGACGCTTTCGAACATTCGACATCACCGAAGCCTAGCCGGCGGGGCCCTAGACCCACCCTGCTAGAGCAGGTTTTGCCATCATCTTCGGTCAGAGCAAGTCGAAAACGGTCCTCCCTGGGGGGCGAGGATGAGCAATCGGTGGAGGAGACAGGAAAGGAGCAGCATCTTGTCGAGGTTCCGCCCCCTCCTGCCGCAGAGAGTGTGTTATCTGGTCATGTAGGCGGTAAGTCTTGTACAGGGCAGGAGGATGGCGTAGGGCGGGGGATAGACCACACGGCACACGGAGACTCTCAGCCTGTGCTGCCGACGCCACGGACTGAAGTCGAGGAAAGGGAGGATCATGGAAGAAAGCATGTCGAGAATGGAAGAGGAAAAGAGCTACCCGTCAAAAGGAGTAGTGCTGCATCAAGGGGCAGATCGAAGCGCCCGCGGGTTCAAGATCAGGGCGTGGACAGCAAAGAAAATCCGACGAAGGCGTCTGAGCCCCAGGGGGGTGGTGAGCAGGCAGGGGATAAGTCAATGCGCAGACAATTTGCCTTGACGGCCGAGTCGGAGGATCACGCGGTGAAAGGCAGCGAGCAAATTGGAGAGCCCGACACTGAGGGAGCGGAAGAGGAGGCGATGGCAATTGGTTTCGCGATAGTGAAGGACTTGGAGCCGAGACTGAAGGGGTCAGCCGAGGAGGAAGCCCCGACAGGTGAAGACACCGTGGGTTCCCAGTCTTCTCCCCACTTGATTTTGTCTCCAGTGCAAGAGCAAGTAATGGGCATGGCGGCACGAAGGCCCGCGTCTGGCGGGGGACGGAAGGGCGCCGGCAGCGAGGGCGCCGGGGGAGGGGGTTCCCCTTCATCGCCGCCTGGGCCGGCGTCTGACGCGGCCCTCTCGGGACTAGACAGGGGGGCTGACCCAGTACCGGGGTTCCCGAGTTCCGTACCGAAAGAAGTTGCCTCCGCCCAGGAAAGGTCGACGGGAGGGTCGAGCGCTCTGCCCAGCGACGAGTGGGATCTAGTGGGGACGGAGACAGACCGGGACCGGAAGAAGAAGCTTAGGCTCAAGCAGCAGCTGGCTTCCGACGCGCGCGCACGGCCCAGTCATGCCCCGGTCTTGGCTTCACTAACAGCCCCTGCCGTGGCCCCTGCGCCTCGAGGAGCAAGCTTCGCGTGGGATAGTGGACGCGGCAGGGAGCCCCCCGGAGCCCCCGCGAGTGCGCAGGCGTCCTTGTCCTCGACCATGCCACCCCCCTCGGCGTCTGCGAACCGTGGGGACCAAGAGAGAGGTGGGGAGGAAAGGGGCAGAGGCCGCGGCTGGGGGGGGCGAGGGACCGACACGGCGCACAGAGACGAGGAGGGGGAGACTTCGAGTACATCATGGTGGGGAGCACGGGGGAGAGGAGGT